CCCAGGGGTCAAGCAGCAAGATGGACAGGGGCTCAGTAGCGGCCTAGACGCCCAGGTAACCTGTCCCCTTCTCCGCGGAGGGGACCCAAGCCAAGCGTGGGGACCCCCGCCAGCTCATCCTTCACCTCGGCCACTTTCACCGCGTCTCAGTCAGCCTGGAGCAAACAGTGGGCGCTCATTATGTGCTGATTTTGTTAAGTAGGGAGACGGGAAGGGGAGGAGGCAGGGAGCCCCGTGTTGGTTTGAATGAATGAATGGTGTCCAGGTGTTAGTGGCCATGTGTCTCAGCCTCGGGAGCAGGCAGACTGGATTTCACCTGCCTGAAAGGCCATCATGTTAAAGACTAAAATATGCGACGCGCCTTACATTTAGCCGCCTAGAGGCAGTGGTAGAAATTACAGCACAGCGGGGCGTGGATGGGCCACTTCCCATGGGCCATGCCAGGGACCACTGATTTAGTGGCCACAGGGTTTTGTTTTGTTTTTTTAAAGCGTGGGAAAATTTTATTGAGTGAAAGAAAGCTTCTAAGAGAGACAGAAGTGGGCCTGCTCACCCCAATTTTCAAAGACGTTTTATACAGCAAAGCCATGTGGTAAGGCGGGAGTTTTGTTATTCACCATCCGCATTCCACGGACAAGGAAACTGAGGCCCAGAGCGATGATGTCACGTGCCTGGCTCGCACTGAGCAGGTGGCAGCTGGGATTTGAACCCTAGAAGCCTGTAAATCAGGACCTGGGCTTACCCACCTTCCCACAGCTGGCAATGGTAGAGCCGGGACTCGAACTTGCATCTTGTGAGGCATCGCTTCTGTAGCAAGGACTATAGAGTCTGCAGGAAAGGGGTGCAGGGTCCAGGTCTCTCTTGTCCACACGCATGTAGGGTGATCTCAGGCTCTGAGCCTTAGTTTCCCCATCTGAGCAGTGGGGTAACAGGTATGCTGTTAGCTCTCAGGGCTGCTGTTTGGATACTTAAGGCTGCACACCGGCATGAACCACCACTTCGGAACGCTCCATTTTTGTGTGTGTGTGTGTGTACCGGGGATCGAACTCAGGACCTTGTGCTTTCGAAGGCAGACCCAGTTTCACTGCAATAAATCCCCGCCCCCGGCACTCTACTCTTGGTTTTGTTTTGGTTTTGGTACCCGGGATCGAACTCAGGTCCTTGTGCTTGCGAGGCAGGCGGCGGAACCACTGAGCTGAATCTCCGGCCTGGCACTCTACTCTTATATGAAGCCAGAACCCTGGCTCCCCATTCAGGAACCCCCGTGCATGGGCCCCGCCCCCAGCAAACAGGGGCCGAAGAGGTCCAGACGTCTTCCCCAGTTTCTGCCCCACGCGTGTCTCCATCTAGGACCCCCCGGAGGACATGAAGCAGGACCAGGACATCCAGGTGTGTTGGTGGCTGTGGCGAGGCCAGGGCAGGGGATCGGGGGAGGACTTTTGGGGGCGGTGGGGATCCGTCCGTCCGGAGCTGACACCCAGAAGGGCAGGAAGGGGACTGGTTTGTTGGGAGAGGAGGGCTGAGCTTCCCGGCCCGGCCCACCCCACAGGCCGTGGCGACTTCGCTCCTGCCGCTGACGGAAGCCAACTTGCGCATGTTCCAGCGTGCCCAGGACGACCTCATCCCCGCCGTGGACCGGCAGTTTGCCTGCTCCAGCTGTGACCATGTGTGGTGGCGCCGTGTGCCCCAGCGGAAGGAGGTGACAGCCCAAAACTTGACCTTTACTCCAGCCCAAACTTCACTCCAACATCCCCGTTGCTCCCTCCCAGAACCCAGCCCAGAGTTCATTTTGATCCTCTGAGCCCAGCCCTGACCCACAGCGGGAATTTTGTGGGTTTTTTTGTTTTGTTGTTTTGTTTGGAGACAGGGGCTCACTCTAGTCCAGGCTGGGCTCAAACTTGCAATCCTCTTGCTTCAGCCGACCTAGTGCTGGGATTGCGGGCGTGCACCAGTGATCAAAGCTAGAGTTTTGTGGGCTGGGGAATTTAGCTTAGTGGTTACAGCACCTGCCTCGCAAGCACAAGGACCCGAGTTTGATCCCTGGTACAAAAAAAAAAAAAAAAAAAAAAAAGGCTAGTTTTTGACCTTGGATTTGAGAAGCTGAAATCCTCACCCCCTGGTGGGGCCCAGATGCAGCTGCAGTGATAGTAACTACAGAAATCAAACCTGGCTCATTGCTGTCATCCCAGCACTCTGGTAGGCTGAGGCAGGAGGGTTGCAGATGGAAGTCCAGCCTGCAGAATTTATGGAGACCCTGTTCCGAAATTTTTTTAAAGGCTGAGGCTGTAGTAGCTCAGCGCCAAAGCCCTGGGGTTCAATCTCCACTACCACAAAGAAAAATCAAACTTGGCCCCCAAACCTGACTTCTGCACCCCCTGATTAGTAAGTACTGTGCTTGTGCCAAATGCTTAACTCGCTCGCTTGCTCTTGGCAGGGAACCCCGGTTGAGTGTCTGCCCACTGCCCCGGTGTAACTGTCCCTCCTGTGGCCAACGCCAGCCACTGCAGTCCATCGCCGGCCCTGATCCCAACCCCAGCCGCCTCTGACCACCCCTGGTCCCCTCTCCGCACACCCTCCCCAGGTGTCCCGATGTCGTAAATGCCGGAAG